GATAGGAACATTTAACGTGCACNAGACGGTTTATTTATCCTCTAGAACTGCCGGAAATATTATGACAAATATTGCGAATTTCTCTTTTTTAGTATATAAAAAGTATATCAAATATGGCCACTCTGAGACGGTTTATTTATCCTCTAGAACTGCCTGGAATATTATGACAAATATTGCGAATTTCTCTCAGAAGCGTCTTCATCGGGGATAGGAACATTTAACGTGCACCGAGTTGACTTTCTTTTCGTCCATTTCAACATTAGATTCGTGACACCTCGAGGCAATGTTCCTGAAGTAGGCTCGCGAATTGGGAATAAATAGAATTTTTAATTTCGGCATAAAACAGCGGGCCAGAACGAGGGAAACGGACTGCTGCATGTGCATATCGAGTGCATATCGAGTAATGATAAGAGCCTTCCGGCCAACTGGACAGTTTTCGAACTACCAGCGACCTTATCCTGTAAAGATATCTTGAGAACTGTCGTTCACACGTGTAGCGATCATCGGCCAGCAGGCCATTATCTCTTCGACAATAAATCGGCGGTCGGACTGACCGTGTACAGATATTTAAAAAATTGGGTCGTCGCCGGACGATTGTCGCGAATCGAGAGACGCTTTTGGTACTCCGACGAAGGCCCGCCAGTGACTTTTTGCTCCCGCCGATCGAAAACCGTCACGTTGGTGAAAAATCTCGTCAAACTGGTGTGACAGGAAATCGAGACGAGAAACTCGGTCGCGAGGTGATGGGCAGGGAATGTAACATCCGTTGTAGAGCAGCTACCAATCGCTAAATGAGCAATTACATCGAGGGAAAACACCGATCGATCGGCAGAACATCTTCCCGTTTCCAGAAAGAAGGGTAGACACTTCACAAGAAATCACCTTCTTTGAACATAGTAAAAATGGCATCATATATTGACTAGATGTAAGACAATAAATATCCGATATGAATAAAGACCTAAATGTAATAATGAATTAATAAGTGAGGTCCAGGTACCATAAAATTTGGAATGGATGCAAGACTAACGTGACATAATTTAATATTACGAGTTCACTAGAATGAATTCTAATTAGGATAACGAGAATGAAAGCGAGAAATGTCCGGGTCAGGATAGAAAAGCGTGACATATTAGAACGAGGGTAATAAAGAGGACACAATAATATCAGAACAAGTTAACATAGCCCTCAATCTGCAAACTCATTTTGATCGTCCGTTCCGCGTGTCTAATGTTATATTTTATAATGATCTACATGAATGAATAAACGAAGGGATTAAACCTCTACCTATAATTGAAAAAAAAAAAAGAAGAAAACAGTAATTAAATAATATATTCTTAAAAAATTAAGAGCCATAGAAAAGTTTTCACACGACTCTTGAATAGGCCGGTTCATCCTTTACTGAATAATTAGGTGAAATAACTCCATCCTTTCACGGCTGAAATCGCAAGTAGGGGTTCCCACCCTTTAGGTATCTAGTAACCAAGTTTAACCCCCTGCCGTACATTGGCGGCTTAAACCCCTGCTGAGTAACAAGTGTGTCCACTGGGGGAAAAAAAAAAAAAATCGTACAGCAAGGCGTAAAACCCCTTTATCCAGGGGTAATCTTCCCTCCCTGAGATCGAGTTTCTTTCACGAACTAGGTTTTTCATCTATGACCCCTCGCCTACGCTAATGTATAAATAGCTAAACAATTAAACTATTACCTCATTGAGCGCCAATGTGAAGAAAAGCTCAGAAGAAGAGGCGCAAGTCCCGATATCAATCGTCGTAAAAAATGTTAACCATATTTAAAATAAGACAAATGAAATTAAACAGTACTCTTACCTAAGTGCGACCATTGCGTAAATGTAATTATCACAGGGAAGTTAGGTGTACTACCCTGTTAGCATTACCGTCACGGCAGATAATTGTAATAACGAGAGATAAGTGGTTACAAAACTGGATGAAATTTAAAATCGACTGCGTGGCAGCGATCGAAATCCAAATTAAGCCAATGAAGACCGGAATTAATTAGATCAAACTATGATGGTTTTCATAAGATGGTTTCAACCGGTTAAAACCGAGTGTGTTTTGTGTCATGCATTTTATTTACTGGAAAAAAAAAAAAAAACGGAAAAAGCCGATGGTTTTAACCGGAATGGGTCAAACTTTGCCAATTCTGATATATGTCCTCCTTGTGGTGATTTACAAAACGGACCCTAATATTCCAGACAGATCAAGGACCTTACACAGGACCGATTCCATTTCCGGTTCCGGAAGAAATCGGGTCCTGGATTGGCAGGAACTCGCGTAAAGAGTTCCGGTCGTTAGACCGCGACCTGGTCGCACCGGTAGCGGATGCGTTGCGCAATGTCCCGAGAGAAAACGGGACCTCGCCAGGAACGAATATTCCTCCTTGCAATTTACAACCTTAAAATACAACTCGAGTCGTTACTATCTGTGGAAGTGGTACATCGCTAATCCATACAGTTAACCAGTCCCTCCTTTCTCCCCAATACATAAAACGCTAAATGTAAACAGGAATTGAAAGAGTCCCACGAGAATATCAAGTTCACTTAAATAACGAAAATATTAATAAAAAATCCCGATTTAAATCTCCGAAATTGTAATTTAGAAAAAAAAAATTGAAACCGATCTATGAGAATGGGAACTTCAGTAATGAAGGTATTAACAAGGAATCTTTATTTAAATCTCCGAAATTGTCATTTAAGACAAGTCCGCGATTTTCTTATTTTTTTTTTTAATAGAAATCATTTTTAGTAACTCTGACTCTGGACAACCCGAGCGAAACAATGAACCGACATCGTTGTCGAGTTTCCTTAGTCAAGGTAAATCGATAAGTGGATAAATTTCGTAACAGGGCCCGCAAAACGTGCCGCGATTGAGCAAACCCCCGTCCGCAATTTTGCGTCTCTAGAAATCGGAGTCGCGAGCGTTTCGCGTACGCTTTCCGATTGTTCCGCGCCGATTCGCCCGCACGGCTGGGCTCGCGTTGCGTAAATCTCGACCCCTGGCCCTTTTCGCTTCCAACAAATTGCACGTGCAACTGCAAAAATGATCACGCGGTATGTTGCCACCTAAGTACAATTAAATTAAATCTGTTACGAATTTATCGTCAGTTTATCGCACTTTCATCGGGTAAAAAAAATTATTTCCTATTATACCTTAACGAATGTTCATAGCCAGCGTTATGAACATCAGGTTAGGAAAACACACACACCCTCTCTCTCGATAAATAGAGCCACTCTCAAGCGCAAAGAGCGAGAATTTACGTAATTGCACATTCCATACGAGTCATGCGAAATTTCCAAAATTAATTGAACTCGTTAATTCGGTCAATTAGGCGAGCAATCATTCGGGTGGATATGAGGAAGCACGGTTCGATAACAAATTCTACATGACACGTGGTCGTATCAGTGGGGATAGTACTATTCACCATGATTCTTAGTTCATCAAGTAATGAGCATGCCTTTGCGGCAACTAATTGCAGTCCTGCCTATTTTGGACCTTTCATAAAACTCGCTCTGTACATACTCTTCGTATAAAGCGTTTTCATGTATATTTCATAAATTTAAGTAAACACTCAACAAGAGAACAGGACGAATGCATAGTGAAGAAATCCGATTTTAGAAAAATTCAATTTCCCAGAGCCAATTAATTTGTAAGAAACTGGAATATTTAATTTTCTGGAATAGCGTAGTGCCTTAGACTCCGTGAAATTGCAGAACTAGTAAACACAGTTGATCAAAGAAATCCGGAAAAAAAAAAATATATATATATACCTCAACCCAGTGAACCGTGCCTTTGGCTCTTGATCAGGTCAAGATGTCTTTCATCCGAATTTACATAAATTCCCCGAACGTCCCGTTACAACTTACACAAATGGAAAACATACGTATACAAAGCTTAACATTGAACAGTTTTTTGTTAAACGATTATTGCTCCCAAGGGCAAGGCATACAAGAATAATTTATGCGAACCTTCAGGATATAAGAAAGGGTGACGTCACCGTCAGCCTCAACTCAAGAAACCCGTAAAACCGGCAAATCGTTAATTTTACAAGGAAAACAACTCTTAAGCACAATGTATAATTCGGTTTTCGAGACCCCTCGAGTCCTTAAACAAAATCAGAGTTCCGGCTTCTCCGATACCAACTGAAACCTTTAAATGGCATTAACGGGAATAAATGTCAAGGACTCGGTTATTCATTAAACCCGAGTATCCGTCAGTCTATAAGGTCAGGGCACGTATCTTTCCACGTACCGAGTGTTTTGAGGCACTTTTACGTCCTGCTCTAACCTCTCGAAAAGTTAGAGTTCGTTTTATCGGTGACCACTAACGAACAATGATATCATTCCTCCCCTCTGTGCAGTTAGTCGTAGAAGAGTCTCTAATAAACCGCAGGAATATGTACATCTCGCGCACCTTTTAAAACACTTGATATTCAAGGTCCTGCTCCCGTCTCTCTAAGCTCCGCAGTTCCGGTTAGCCTATTCCTTGCCGTCGGATCGGCCCGCATGTGTCGGAAAGATACGCTTTGCGTAAACCCTGAGGACCCTCCTAGCCCCAGACGTCCCGGGCAAACGAAATCGCTCCCGGAGCGATTACCGCGCCACGGAGGGCTCAAAGACTTCCCCCGACGTCCCGGCGAGAGCCGCGTATAAATCCTGAAAAACAAGAGAGGCTCGAGGGGAGTCCGGGGCTCGTGGAACCACCCCCCGCATAGCCGGCGCCCTAACGGCCATGTGCCGCCCCGAACCTCCGCCCCTGAGCCCCGGCGACTCCTGTCGTCGCCAGGGTGCCCGGTCCGACCTCGGGACGCCGGAAAAGCTCGGCGAAGCCTCGAGGAGGGCCTCGCCGAGCTGTCAATGCCCCTCCGGGTCGTCGACGGAGGCGATCGTCCCGGTCGACCCATCCCAGTTAGCCCCCTCGGGCCTACGGAGCGCCGCTTGTCGAGACGTGTCAGCCTTTCCAGGCGCGATTCGAACTTTTGGACTCACCATTTCCGCTGCGCCGTTGGCCGCGTATCCCAACATATCACAGGGCCACGAAACACCACCGAGGATTCCACTAAACCGTCCAGAACATCGCTTCACCTCGCGCAAGTTGTCCCACAAACACAGAAAATGGCGTTACTCCCGAGCAGTGCCACGGTCGACTCCAGCCGACGGGATCGCGCGACCGCAGCGTCGCCCCTAACGGCCCGCGGCAGCTCCGTCAACTAATCCCGTCCCCGCCGCGAAAATTTGAACGGCCCGACCCGTCAGATTTTCTAATCCCGCTCGTTTCGAAATCATTTCGTTAGTCGTTTTCGCATTTTAATTAACGAATTTATGATTTTTTTCATTACTGTTTGTTTTTACATTGTTTTTGTCTTAAGGCAATTAATCGATTATCTGTTTAAGAGTGAAAATATCATTCGTAATAGATTCCGAGTATCTACACTTTTAACGAATATTTGCATGTATTCTTTGTAACTTATTCAAAACAATTATTATTTTATGGTGTTCTTTAGACGTATTTAATTAACAAGAAATACTCAACTCATAGAGAATCCTCTGTGATACAACTTATATTTGTAAATAAGAGTAACATTTCCGAACGCACCGGAGACATGCAGCAACCTCTGGTGGCGAACTACGCTACAAAGCATTATCTTACTCGCACTATCGTTTCAACGATATATCCATCTCCATTTAACTGAATTTCAAGGGATTAACTTTACGTGCGCGTGCGCATTGCATGACTCAATGTGGCTCCAAAACATCCGTTGGAAGTTATTGTTACTGGAATCGTTTTCCTTCAGAAACTCGATAGAGTTTCAATCAAGTAATTGAATTGCAACAGTTTTCATGTTCCCGTTTTGCAACCACTTAAATGTACAAGTGTCTTAGACATTTTTGAAGGACATACGAAATTTGAAAGGCGATATTTAACAAAATTGTTCGATATTTTGATATACGATGGGAGATGAAACCGAACAAGTAACGGCTTGTCTTTGTACAATTTATTATAACGTTGTAATTTAAGCTAACTTCGCCAACTGTGTATTTTTATTTTTGTCTAATAGGTTCCAGCAATTAATGTGAAAGAACCATTAGATCTTATTAGACTGAGCCTAGACGAACGGATATATGTTAAGATGCGCAATGAAAGAGAGCTTCGTGGTCGTCTACATGTAAGCATTGTTATGATTTTTTGGTACAATTTGATTTAACATGTGTGAAGTTAAACAAAAGTGAATTTTATGATCAATTATTTTAGTTTATTTATTTGTAATATTTTTTTTACTTATAAACTTTTTATTTTAGGCATATGACCAACACTTGAACATGGTACTCGGAGAAGCAGAAGAAACTGTAACGACGGTTGAAATTGACGAGGAAACATATGAAGAGGTATATCGTACTACGAAACGAAACATTCCGATGCTCTTTGTTAGAGGAGATGGTGTTATCTTGGTATCTCCTCCTAGTATGAGAGCTCCGATATAATCTGGTAGTATGTACATCTATGTACATAATTTCTCACTCATATGCAAGTTAAATATATATTTTTATTATCATAATATTAATATAGTGTTACACACATTCATCAGATCATGTCAAATAAAGTCATGTAAGAAATTATATGATTGACTTAATATTGTATGAAGTTAGATCGTATACTATATAAGTACCCACCCTTTAAACTTTGTTAACTCGATGTTTGTTAATAGCATTACCTAAAACATGAGAATGCGTCGAAACATGTTCTTCAGGATTTGTCAGTTGTGCGACAAGATCGGTGATTCGTTGATCCTTTAATTTCATTACGCTCTCAAGATGTGAAATCTTATGATTTAATACATTAATAGCCTCCACCTTCTGCTGTAATTCCTCTTTTAATTTTAGGAAGATATGGCGTGGAACCGTCTTGTTTGCTACTTCTTCAGGATTCAGTATGGATCTCACGGTTTCTGTATTAATTACAATTTGATACTGTTTGATATTGCAAATTATTTGGTACTACAGGATAAGATACAAGTTATGTACGTAGAGTGTGGTTAAAATGGATTCGCAAATTTTAAACGCGTATTATATTCATTTTTTGATTGAAGAATATGTTCATTTTCAAAAAAGGTATGGAAATTTCATCATAACATTTCTTCATAAGGTTGGCAAGTGCAAGTGCACTTGCCACCTGCATTCTCCACCGAGTGCAGCACAGATTACAATTGCCCCAAGACAAAAAAAATCCACTCTTACCGCCTTTGCCATTCTCCTCGTAATCAAAATACAAAGAATCTCTATCAGCATTGCAGTTCTTCAGAATCTTTCTTCGCAGATCTATCAGTACTTTTTCAATCACTCCTGACTGAGAATTAGCCAGCTGATTGATCACTTCTTTCGAAAGCTTCATACCAATTTTTGAAAGTACTCTGCGATTTAAGGTGCACCAATTATCCACTTTTTTGACGATGCTACAACTTGATATGTAATTATGGACATCTACATGTCGAGGATAATATTTCTTAAGCAGTTCTGCCATCAGTACTGAAAATTATTTAGATAAATATTTCTTCTGTTCCAGTGCTTATATAAGTAACTATACATTTATTCGTAACGATTCTACGAAGCTTTCCTTTATGCTGAGAAAATTTGCGTATTCAGTTACCAGCATCCGAAAAGTCTCTCGCAATGTTTTTCTTTTGACGGGAAAAAGGAATTTGGTCGATCCATGCGTAAATTTCTTCAAGACTGTCGGTCGTTTGTATTTCCGAGATGGAACTGATATTTTGCTCTGTAACGGCCTCCATGCTGCATTTAAAAACGTTAACTGACCTTTATTACAAATAATGTCGGAACTTTCTTCATCGGAAATTTATATACCACTTTTATCTGTCAATGGCCGTGACTTCTCTGTCCGTCAATGCCACAAAGTTGTCAACTTTTCTCGTTGAAGTGTCAGACATATACGAGGATGAATAATTACCACGATGAGTTTTATATAAAGTATTGAGTGCAAACACTGATCTTAAGTTTAACAATTTTTTGCATTTTTTGTATGAGGTTCGCAACCTTCCTGTATTCGGCGAAGTATTTTACACGGAAGTGTTTTTTGTGGGGAGCGTTACCGAAAAAGTTGGTCAATATGATGAAGTTTTCGAAACGCAAAATGCTGGACTTGCTACCATGAGCACATATATTCAAATCCTCTCTGTCGCGATTCTCTTATGAAAGTATTACGAGTAAATATAATTATTCGATAATTTATTGTTAGGCTCGAACTTACAAAGATTTGGCGTACTTGTGGCATCGTAATTACCCATGATTACATACCACCACCCTTTTTCCCCGTGAACAATTCCCTCATATAGTGATCTTATAGCGGCCTTTTTATTATACTCCTGCAAACTTTTAATCATTAACAGAACTTCAGTAGCCTGCTTGTCAGCGTGTAACGGCTTTCTTACCGCGAGTCGCGGGTTCGATTGCCGGCAACCGCGAAAAGAATTTTTCAGCATCTAAAATAGAATCGCCCGTCTGCACAGACCGGATAAATAAACATACAAACAGGTTTGGATAGAAATATCGAATTTCTAAGACAAATTCAATACACAGGAAGAGGTGTTTTACAATTTAGCACCTGCACGCCAACGTTAACGCCCTACACTAACGATGCCATAACTAAAGAATGTCATAAAATAATCTGAAACATATAACGTATGAACAAATCTTCTAATCTGCCAATGAAGAGCATTTTCTATATAATTCGTAACACACCCTCAGGGTCGCCATTTTGAATGTGCCCATTTTGCCCGAAGCTCATTTTCCTAACCTCCTCGTGCATTCCTACTCTTACCATCGCAGTTAAGGATTCGAGGGTCGTGACGATCGCCGAGTAAGAACGATCGCAAGGATGTGCTCTCTTTCGAGTCGAAAATGGAAGTCTTTTAGAATTTCCTAGTCCCTGGGGGGTCTCGCTGTTAGTAAGTTCTGGAGTGACCATGGTGGAGGATAATATTTTCTCATCGAGTGCAGCCGAAGGATGGAAATCCGAATCTGCCGATGCAGAGGAGGAAATCGGCTTTCCGAGCTCTCGCTAAGATACATGAGATTCCGCAAACGTAATACTACCTTCCATCCCGGATAGGCCCGGGGAGGTCCGATCGCTAAGCGCCAAAAAGCTGCGCCCTTCTCTCTCGCTCTACATTCTCGTGCGCGAGGGAGAGGAAGAGACGCCGAGGATCGATGCCCGTTCTTCGGCGCCGCGTGCGCGCACACCTTGCCACGCGGCGCACACTAAACGCGCGCCGCGACGGCGCGGCTACGTGTTGCGCGTCGCGAAGCCGCCGCCGCCGCTGCGGCTTTTTTAGCCGCCGACGCGCGGCCCACGCGCTACCTCTGGATATCACCCGATCCTTCTTGTCACCTCGGAGGACTCCTTTAGTCCTTCAGTACGCCGCGTGACGCGCGCAGATGCACGTGTCGCGATATAGATTCGCTTTTAAATACGGACAGACTTTTGTCCTCCCTATAGGTCTCACATTTTTCTTTCAAGTCGAAGGCAGTTGACTTACGAGACAGCGAAAGAGAGAACTTCTCTAGAGTACTTCAGATTTCTCTAGAGATTTCTTTCCAAGTGTGGGAAGTTGGGATTTGGGGTTTTGAGTTTGGAAGTTTCAAGTTTAAAGGGATCTCGAAGAAGAGACGAGAGACAACATGGCGGTGGATTGCGATGCTAATGGTAAGGATATGGGTTAGTGAATTATCCTTCGATTCGCTTGTTTAATTTCCTTTCTCGGTGATATTAAATTCAGATAGTGGTATTAATTGCAATGGGTTATTTTTTTTTTTGGAAATTAGCCTGATATCGGAAGTCTAACAGAAATGGTTACGGCGTCCTTTCTGTAGCACGTCTCTTTGACCTTTAGGTCTCCTCTACGGTAGATCGATCGTAAACCATGAAATAATTGAATCATCTCGGGTTGAGTTCTCGTCATCTTCCTTTCCCAACCTGGTTGGAGGTACTTATTTTCTTCTTTATAACTGAACCATAATAGGATTCCACGGAGCCCATTGGTACCTTGATTAATATCGACTACGTGCACTACATTACTTCATTTTCTCATAAATTGTATTCATAAACAAATCTCAGATGTTTTTTTCACATCCCTGCAATATACCTAGGAATTTCTCGCTCAATTGTATTTGGTTCGAAAATGTCCTAAATTTCTTGATAGCAAGTGATATTAACGCACCTCGTATCTATAAATGGTTACTCAGGCGATAAATTTATCTATCATCACCAATAAGGTAATAAAGTTATCATTTATCAGGCAATAGATTTTTATCGTGCTGCTAAGGTCATGATCTTCCTAATTGACCCCAAATTACTGTCGCTATAGTAGATCGTGTTTATTACTTCCTAATACAATCCTGGTATTGCATCAATCACAAACGTGATCATGAGTTATAAGACCGATAATTTCATCATATTGCAATTACCCATCTAAAACTTCACGTTGTTACAATTCTTAAACACGTTTATTACAATTCGGCATGCGCATGTCTCATTTACATAGTACATTATTTTCTTACGTATAATAATTCGGCAGAGAGTCGGCAACACGTGGGTAATGAGAGTACTCGTAGCGAAGCAACAAGTGGTGATGAAAGTGTACCTGTTGCAATCGATATTGGAAGCTTCATACTTTACGGTTCAAGACGACATTAAAACGTTTGAAAGTATGCCGAATCTTACGGAATATGTTTATTGTTCAAATATTAAAACGTGTTGAAATACCACTATATGCACTTGCTGCATGGAGTCGGGTTGAGACTTTTTGAGAGAACACGTGGACCCTGATCTCATTTCTGAAAATAATCTCTTCCCTGTTGGTAGGAGTACCATCGAAGTTATTTTTATCAGAGCCAGCCGAATACTTCGATTCAGATGATTGCGCTTTTCCAAATTAGTTTCTTCAAAAGAGAACGTCAATTATGCGTCAGTTGCTCCTAATTTACCGTAAATTATAGCAAGACTTGTTTAATCTCTTAAACCTGTATATGTTTTAAATTAACAATGTTCATCGATGATTGCATGATAACTGCTTTTTGGAGAAGACATTGAAAGTCACCCGATTAAAGGGCCGGATTAATATAAAAAATACATGCCAGATTTAAACGACTATTCAAGGATACTTTGCATGTATTTTTCCACGAAGAATCTTAAATCATATACTATGATTTATACATTATACAAATGTTTAAAATGTCCACTTTTTAACCGCACGCAAGTCTTTAAACGTTTTAAGATGAAAGTTTGTACGATAACTTCTCCCTACCCTATATATCATAAGAAAACTTGCAGTTCGATTTAAATAAACAATCTCTTCAGTCATAGAATATCATTGTTGGTTTGACAAATGATAATAGGATAGCATTGGAACGTTTCATTTATACTAGGTAGGTACAATGTAGGTAGGTCCGGTACAATGTACCGAAATGACTTAACGATGGACCAGAAGCGATTCCAAGATGCTCGTGCTGGCAAGCACGTACACCTTGAGTAAATTCACGAGTACCTCGAATGTAATGCCAGTGGACCACGTGCTTGCGGCGAAATGTCAAAGACCCGAAGATACCTCTCAGGTGGTGGTCGTGGATTCTGGCTCGTCGTCAATTTCGTGGAACCAATCATACAGCCTTAAGATCAGGTTCTTTAGCATGACCACTTCAAGTACCTTCGTTACTTTCAACGTTGCTATGACGAATTTCAGCTGTACTAAGGATTGGAGGGAGGGCCTGTAATCAAATTGCACCTGTCGGGATCATCTTCACTCAGGTCTCCCCTGCAAATTTGGTTGACTAACCGAGTTTAAAAAAACTTTTCGGTGTTTTCTGGGGAAGAACTGCGGAGTCTTTGCGAGGATTGTCGTGTTTTTAAATAGGATTTTGTGACTCGTCCCAAGATGGCATCCAGTTACTGAGGCTTATTCGAAATGTAGCCTGATCGATATTTCGTGTTCTTTCATTCCTGTGGCCACTCTTCTTTCGGTTCATTTGATATAGGTATATCTTCTGAAACTTGATTGGTCAATTGTCAGCTATTTGATAATATAAAAGCTTCCAGCAAATGAAGGTGCAATTGCATCGGGGTATCCCAGCCCTGATAATAAAGCTTCAATGCAGGCGAAACGTCGGCAAAAAATTAAATTCACCCACGGCTTCCACCCTGAAGCCAATTTGTACCCTATTTTGTGAGATTGTAAATATAGCTAGTAATATTTCTTGTTTTTTAGGTGGGCGAGCCAGTCGTACAGCTTTCCCGATTCGATATTTAATGGCCATTCTTGGTTCTATGGGGTTGGCTATTATCTATGGGTTCAAAGTTAACGTAAGCGTTGCCATTGTAGCAATGGTAAACCATACTGCGGTTAAATTGTCCAGCCAGTCTCAGTTGAGCCATGACAATTCATCCATTATGCCTACTGCTGATATATGTCGTCATGATGACGGCAATAACATCACAAAACTAGGGAACGAGGTAAATAATCAAAATATATAAAAAATATCTAAAAAGAAAAGAACTTTTTTTTTTTAAGAAGCGCCATTAAAGTGGCCTCTTTCATTCCCATGTATTCGAAGCGAGAAATGAATATCGCATTCATATAAAATATGAACGCGATGATTCATATGAAATATGAAAATATGATCCGCGGCCTTACTCTTCATACAGGTGATACATCTTTGCGTATGACTTCGCCGTTGTTAAAGGATTATATGTTTGTAATTGTATTATAGGACGGTCCCTTCGAATGGAACGAGCCTCTTCAGGGTCTCATCCTGTCTTCGTATTTTTGGGGATATTTAGTATCTCTGATGCCTGGAGGAAGAATGGCCGAGCTTCTTTCTGCAAAATGGGTGATGAACTTTTCGGTGCTTTTGAACGTCATTGCTTCGATATTATCACCGGTCGCAGCGCAATTGCACTATTCGCTCTTCATCGTCATGAGATTTATTCAGGGAATCGGCGGTGTAAGTTTAACAAGTGTTACAGAACCATTATACTTTCAATTGTAATACGCTATTACTTATAAATATAATGTTAAGCGTAATTTTATTTTCAGGGCGTGTCATTTCCTGCAATGCATGTAATGATCGCAAAATGGGCTCCACCAAATGAAAGGAGTATTCTTGTTTCTATTGTTTACGCAGGTATGACTTTGCAATTGAACGCACATTTTCCATCTAAAATATGTAAATAACAACTATTTAGTTATAACATAGAAGAAGTTATAATGATATGTCTCTGTTTAGGAACTGCACTAGGGACGGTCATCTCGATACTATTATCAGGGCTATTAGCTGCCAATTTAGGGTGGGCTTGGATTTTTTATATCGAAGGTCTTTTGTGTTTGATTTGGTGCGCTGGGTGGTGGCTGATGATAGAGGATTCCCCTGAGCAACAAAAAAGATTCATTACACAGCAGGAGAAAGATTACATTGCTAATGCATTAGGCCAATCAAAATCCAGTGGACACCATAAAGCGGTATTAGGATATTTTTTGTATAAAACGAATTATATTGAGTACATGAAAATGAATGTAGTATTGTAAAAAATTATGCTAAATGGTTTTTCTTTTTTTAAACAGAGACTACCAGTTCCCTGGAGGCGGGTGTTCACCTCTCCTCCGTTTCTGGCTATTTTGATCGCTCATTTTTGTAGCAACTTTGGCTGGTACATGCTGCTCATCGAATTGCCTACGTATATGAATCAAATTTTGAAATTTGATATGAGCTCGGTAAGTGGTTAAGAAGATTAGTTATTGTCAAAGTTTACTCTCGTTCAGGCCTAACATTTCACATTACACATCGCAAAACTTTCGATTGATTCTTCGAAAAAATGGATTGTTGGTGCCTAAAATTAAATCACAATCAATCCTGGAACACAATATAAGAGGGAAAATTCTTATTACTAACTAGAATGTTAATAATATTTAATTGTGATCTAGAATGCTGGGCTTTCTGCAACGCCTTTCTTATGTATGTGGATTGTTACAATGGGACTGAGCAAAATCCTCTCAATAATGCAAGACAAACAATGGATATCTGTTACCGTTTCAAGAAAAATTGGAACGTTGATTTGTAAGGGCATTGTTTTATCAATGTAATTTAGTATTGTGCTAGGTACATTTTCAAGTCACTAATGATGTTGCTTTCAGCCTCCGTGGTTCCGATGATTTGTCTCATAGGAGTCTCATATGCCGGTTGCAATCGTGTATTGGCAGTTGTATTAATGACGATCGGAGTAGCATGCATCGGTGGGATGTATTGTGGATTCTTGGCAAATCACATAGATATTGCGCCGAATTTTGCGGGAACCTTAGTCGCAATCACAAACAGTTTTGCGACTATACCTGGATTCCTTGTTCCTATTTTTGTGGGGAAATTAACCCACGGAAATGTACGTACTATAATGACATATTATCGTATTGATATACTATATTACTATTTTTTTTATTTACAATTAAGCAAGCAAATTGCAAGCTTACAGAAGGTATTACGTTTTAAGATACTGATAACGTAAAACTGCATAGTGTTTTTCCATTTTCTATTTACAGCAAACGGTCGAGGCGTGGAGAATCATATTTTTTGTAACGGTAGGTTTGTATTTGGTAGAGATTTTGGTGTACACAGTACTTGGTACAGGTGAGGAACAACCTTGGAACAATGTCGAGTCGTCCGACGAAGAATCACCTGAACAGGCGTTACCTCTGAAAAATGAAAATACAAAATGATATTCGTAGATTTTTTATATTACTCTTATTTTAAGTAAAATATAGATATTTTAATAGCAAGGAACAAGTATGTTTGTAAATGTATTTGTTGAAACCGGATGTTTATGATAGGGTTGTTAGCACGAACAGCTATACTGGACTTAAGTTAAAATTGTATGACATCTATGTATAACAAATGTAATGCAAAACATTATGAGCAGTATATTTGTTTTACTACCTTGCATAAATCTTTTGTATGAATATCTATGCTGCCAGTTCACGTATTTTATTTGTTAATATAATTATATAATTTTATATAAAAATAAATTAAAGTATAAAAGCACGTTATCAATGATTCCAATTTTTAAGCTTGTTAAAAATGTACATTGAACTAACTTTTCAGCGCAGCCTTATTATTTTAGCGAAGTACAATGGGCCCCAATTATTCGCTTGTGTCGGTATCACAGTGTGACCATACTTCCGTCCATAGCTTCCAAATTTGTAGAGACAAGAAAGTGGTTGTAGTGCCCGTGTCATATCCCTATAAACATATCATTTTCTTCTTTTACAATATATGGATTGAAGAAAGTTATAGAAAGGATACATTGTATAAAATTTATTTTCACGGATTTACCTGACCACCATAACGGAATTAGTTTCCTCCCAAGCTTTTTTCAACGCTAATTGAACCACACCATCGTTTTGTACAGGGCTCAATGAACAGGTGGAATATACTACAGTGCCACCGACAGGTACAATCTTCAATGCATTCCTGAATAAATTAAAACCATGTCATATTTAAATTCAAACAATAAATAGAATACAATGAAACAATCTTCAATCGTCAAGAAATATTAATGTACGTACACTAAAATTTCTGTCTGTAATTCAGGTATTCTTAATCTCTCTTTTATTCTGGTAGGCTTGAAAATATTATTCTCATCTGAGTGCAATATATGCCTATCTGTTGTGCACGGTACATCAACTAAAATCTGTAATTGAATACAAAGAAAGTTAAAAATATCAACGCGAAGCATCGTATTCATTAGATGTATGAAATCAGGATTTAAACAGCACCTTGTTAAAAACATCTTTATCGTCAATAAATCTGGCATCCTGTTCAGTGACAAATAGTCTATTGTCCCACTGACCCATGTCACTGATGTATTGATGTAGTACATTATTGATTCTTTTAACTCTGGAGGATTGAGAGTCATTAGCAACAATTACACGTGGCAGTAATGTTTGCAAAGAGGCTAAAAATTTTCCGCCTGGAGCTGCACACATATCTAATACATTATCACCCGGCTGCAAGTCTAAGGCAAGCACAGGTAATATAGAACCACCGTCAAGTAAATAGTAATCTGAAATGTTCGAATCATTCCGATAATTAGGTTGTGAAGTCCTTAAATAAACGTATTACTTGACTTAGAAAAGATAAAAAATAACTGGGGTTTTATCTGTTATATTTAAAAATAATTACATAACAATTAAGTTAATGATTACCCAAAACTCCAGTGGATCCTTTTTTAGGAGATTTAAATCTAACCGAACTATCTGGTTCATATGCATAAAGATGAAGATACTCTGGGATCTTCAATGTATACTCTTTCTCTTTATTTACAGAAAAATCAGCGCCTTCTTTATAATAATTATAATGAGTTGATTCTAATATCCAATCCTCCATGCCTGAAATGATAAAATTTATAGTATATTTATAAATAATTGATTCTTGCGATAAATATTTAAAAACAAATACATTCTTTAATTTAAACTAAAACAACTAATTGCAATTGACTAACCTTTAATTTTTGTGGTTGGCACAAACTCATAAAGACACGATGACGATATACCCATTCCAGGTTTAACGATACGAGTTTCATCAAATGCTGCTGTTTCTAAACCAGATTCAATCGAGGTCATCACCGGTTGACATGGTTCCTGCTCTTTATTTAAACCTTCCTCGTCAACGGTTGGATTTAATGTTTCCATGGTTGTTTCACAGTCAGTTGGATATATAGATTGAATTTCAGAAAGCTGCTTCTTGGAAATTGCTGCATCCATTTGTTTATCCAATTCATGAATTTGATTTAATAGTTTTTTTCTAGATGAACTTCTGTTGTCCTCATCCATTTGATTTTTATAGACATTATATAAAGACTTGACATTAATTGCACCAGATTCCTAAAATTCACAATCCAAATTATATATCTCCAAATTTCTTACTGAGTGAATACTTCAATTTTGTTTCAAAGTACCTCTAAGGATGAAAATACCCTTTCTGTATCACTAAAGTTATTAATTACAGCCATACACTTGTTGTGTTCACTTAATAAAGCAGCTCTTATACTCTCCCATGTTTTTCCATAAACAGATGCATAGAAATCATCAAAGTGCTCCAGTGCTTTATCTTTAGGTGTTTTTGCCTTCACTTTTACACTCTAAAACATGAACCAATGATACCATTTGGGACATTTCAGCAGATCAAGTAAGGTATCAACCTAACTCGTTCAATGTTATCAGCTTAATTTTTCTATCATTACAAATTAATCTCCTTGAAAAACTCACCCAGTGATTAGGTCCATTTTTATACCTGACTGGAAGCTTTGTTACGTTCGTTATTTTTATTTTATTGAATAGTGGCATCATTGTCTTGTCATTATTAAATATTAGATATTAAAGTCAAAGATTAACGCTAGATTTGGGCTTCCGACCTAACCCTACTTTAAGCTCGCTTCAGACGGCGCTTGTTTTCCTGCATTAGGGGTTTGGATACTTGGAGATGGAGAGATGATTACAGCGCCGCCATCCGTAGGCTAACATACTATTTAGCGAGCATCAATCTGGTCTTTTACGGAGACTTCTGAATTCTTTGCGTTGGTCACCAATAAAAAACTGGACACTATGTTTTAACTCCGAGGCAAAATTCAATAATAAACAGCAAACAAACAAACAAGTGCATTGCAGTCGATACAGTCGATTATAGTCCTCTGAAGACCCGTGTTTCTTTTTCTGTAATTTTATTGAACGGGTTCTAAAGGTGCAACAGACATTCTTTAGTACAGAGAAAAATGTTTTTGACAACACATGATTATGGAAATGCACTTATGATACATGTGATATGATTATCTCAAATATCCATAAAACTGAATCAGTCACGTATATCAAAAATGCAATTCTTTAATACTAATTATCTTGATTAAATGTAGGATTAGTTCAGTTTATACATACATATGTACATACAACTCTAGCTGAATACAAACAAGTTGTTATGAATAAAATGGAAATAACGTGTTTCATATCATGATTTATAGTGAGAAGTTAGCTTGGCATTGCATAGCTCTTATAATAAAAAGAACATATTTGCCATGACTTAGTCTTTAGAATATCACCAAGTGCTTACATTTGCTTATAAATTGAGACTCCAATTATGTAGCAATTTTTTCACAAAGTATCCAACGTGGAAAAGCTTTTAATAAAGCAGTTACCACGAAGGTATAGAATTGAACGCGATTTTCTAAGGTCATTTAAATTGCTATAAACATTACAACTTGTTACATGGTTTGTTATTGACTATTTGCTTCCAGATCCATATCCGACCAAACAGCTTCTGTTTCACTCTCCTCTGCAGCTTCGTCATTGTCTGTATCATGAAGACCATCCCTAACATCATATGTTGTATCGGCATGTTCGTCTCCGACAGTCATGTAATAGGTTGAATCAAATTTACTAGAAGTGCTATCTAATCTGTGCATTCCTTGTAACGCTCTTCTATTACTTGGATCTAAGCTGTAAAAAATGCAATGCAATTAATAATACATGTGGATAAATCTGACATTATTCTATGTAATAACGGTGGCTTACTTTAGAGCAATGGCATAATGATCTAATGCTTTCTCCTCATTGTGTACTCTAGCCCACAGGTCTCCCAGCATTTGATGTAGTTTACACGTGGGTTGTATATCGATTTGTCTTGTTAATAACTCAATGGCAGCTTCTAAGTTCATTTCTTGCTCATAAATTTCAGCTAGTAAATATACTGCAGCTAAATACGTTTCGTCCAGTGCCAAAGCTTTCTGTAATAAATTTTTTGCCTTTCCAACAGATACTGGATCTTTCATTAATACGGAAGCGTACAGCTACAACACAAGTAGTTATATTAATAAATATTACTTAGGTTTCAATATTTTTTTTGTATGCTAACGTACAATTCACATATTTTAACATATTAATAAATTTCAATCAAATTTACCGCAAGAGCCCGTTGAGTATGTCCGAGTTGTTTACAAGCACTGCTAGCAATATTTAAAGCCTCTCTTAGCCTATGCATTCCAATAAAGCAATCAACTAAGCCTTTATGTGGTTCAAAACGATGGGGCTTCAGTTGCATTGCTTGCCTAAAGTGGTTTAATGCATCCTGATATTTTTTTTGTTCAATCAAAATATTTCCGCGGAGAATTATTGCTTCCACGTTGTTTGGACTCAAATTAATTGCTTGTATGACTAATGTGTTAGCCCTACTAAATTTCCGTGTCGCATACAAGGCATAAGCCATAACTAAATAACCCTCCGCTGTACAATCCCCCGTAGCAGTAACAGCTGGGATTAATTTTTCTAATTCCTTTATATGATGCATTTTGTGTAAAACAGCAGCATATATGTCCAAACTAGAAGAAAAAGATAATAAGATTCGGTTCATATGCCGAATTAAAAAACCTGTAACTTGAGCTAAGATATAATAAAATCTCAGAAATCATATATCACACTTACCCTTTCACCGAGTCAGGCTCTATCGCCCTGGCTCTCCGAAGACATAACAATGCATTTTTGGCATCTCCAGCATAGTAATAACATTCTCCCATAGTTACTAAGAGCCCAAAATTGTCTCTTAAGAAATTAACATTGTCCAATGATCTTAATGTCGTAACAGCATGATTATATTCTCTATTATGGATGTGTGCATGAGCTTTAATCCAGGTATTTAACCAATCTAAATTTGGCAAATTTGAAGCACATCCTACAACTAAAGAATTAACTTCGACCCCTTTAACACCAAGGGATAATAATCCTTCTGCAGCCTCCAAAGCGAGAGGACATTCTCGCAGTACTTCTTTATATGTTGTTATTGCCGATCTCTCCATTCCTTGATCTTGAAACATCTTAGCAAGTGCCATGTTTATCTAAAAAAAATACAAACTTTAATTAAGTAATTTAAATTTGTTATTTCAACATACATATAACATAGTACCTGAATATTAAATTAATTTAAAAATATGTGGTACGTTAATTAAATTAAATGTAAAAGTATAATATTTCTTGTTTACCTTAGCAGTTCTTTGTTTACCCGGTATGCTCTGTAATACCTGAAGGGCTTCTCTTGGGTTTTTAAGTTTTACCAAACAATTATGAATTTGATATTTAATATCTATATCAGATAATACATCTTTCTGTCCATCTTGTGGGGTTTTTGCCGCTTCCTTTGACTTTAGTAGGCATTTACGAAATTGTAATGATTTTTTATACAACGATTCAGCTTTTCGGTATTTTCCCAAATGGAAATGGGAATCAGCGCAATGTACATAGACAAGGAATTTGGCATGCGCTGGCAGTAAATCACCATTATGATCACTGACAGATAAAATTAAATTTGCCTGTAAGTAGTCACATCATAAATTTGTATGCAAACAAAACTATTCTGTTAAAAGTTATCAAAAACAGGTCCTACTTACTAAAGAAATAACATTTGAATACAATGATTGATCGTACAAAAGCTTAATTTGATCGTGTAATGCAGACATTTTTGTTTCAATTGTATATAGAATTAAAAATAATTCAGATCACGAGAACTCAGACAGTGAATTATATTAAATTAAATTACACTTTTGAAGCTACGCGATAATAACGATGCGCACAGCTTAGTTGTCACACTGACGTATGACATGCATATATCGCAGTCCTCTCGATCATATATGATTATTTATACATTAAATATTGGTACCGAACACACGACAGAGGTTAAAAAAAATTTGAAGGCATCATCCTTAGACCATATATATCCAGAGATGAGTCGGGAGATTGCTCATGGGCAGGATCGCTGATCACGTCCTGTGCTGCCTCCCAGTGGAGGATGCCAAATTGATCTCTCGAGCAAGTGGCTGCGTTTTTAGACAATTTTAAACAGTTTTAGACGGTTGTAATCGATTTTAAACGATTTTAGACCTCTGTCTACCTCTTCCTGCGTCTTCCTACGTCGATTGCCACCTGGTATTACCATCACGAGTCTTCTCTTACCTTCTAGTGCGACCTGGCGTCGATAAGCGTAGGTAAGCTACCACCGTTAACTGCCACGTGGTATTACCATCACGTGTGTATGAGTTGCCAACGGCGACTGATAGATGGTGCCACCATCAGAAATAGTGGCGCCGTCACTGGGGGCTGACAGACTTTACGGTACATTATTTTATTTCGTGTTGCAGTGCTGGTATGTACAAACTTTTAAAGTATAATTAATAGTATAATTACTTTACGAGTACTTTAAATATTCATCGAATGATTACTCGAGTTTTGCGAACCGAGGGTTAGTAATACTTAATATCTAAGTCCATCTAAACCAATTAAAGATAATTAGTGTATATATTAAACGTCAGGGTAACTTTGATCACGGTACTGGACGGTTCGCTTTGCGTAAAGGACTTGACCCAGTTCCCCTGGTCTTCTTTCTCATCACTTAACTTTTTTCTTTGATTTTTACTCGCTTTCCTCCCCTCTCCGCTCTCTTTTCTGGCCTCTTGCAAACTTCTACCCCCCAGCACTCGCGCACTCAAACTTTTCAGCGCCACTGATGGATCCTTATGCTAATACCGGGAATACTAATCGCGGATTATAATTGTTAATTCGTTAAATGATCCGGAGTCACTACTGCCAAGCTTCTTCTCACTGTTCATTCCTCTCGCGAAATCCCCCGCGTTCCATTATCGTCGACCATAAAGTTCGTCCGCGAGTTCCCCGCAAATCCCAAAATCCTCGGAGAGCTGTCGTCTCCTTCTTCTCTTTCTTTCCTTCCTACCCTGCCTTTTTCGTTCGATGATATTGCCGATTCGGTTCCTCCTACAGACCAGGAACGAATGCGAAAACTGCCAATTACTTCTGTTCTTAGTTCTTTTATTTTTTTCTTCCTAATAGTCATCTAAAGCATGAAATGTTCCGCAAGTTGTTTTTTACATGATGCTGATTCAGTTTACAGAAAATAAGATTTTAACAAATTATTGCGAGGGGGATAAAGATTTTTGAGTCCGTTGCTCCGTTTTGGTGGAAACGGTCTCGGGACGGGGTAAGTTGTCCCCTGCAACCATGAGAGCAGTCGAGGGCGGCTGTTTTCTTCGGGAAAACGACGAGGCGAGGATTACGGACAAATCGTAAGGTGTCCAGACACGAGATCTTGGAACAGGACGACTTCCCAGTGATGGATGAGGGGCCGCAGACTTTGCTGACAGCGCAATACTGGACCGGGAAGGTAGACGTGGACGCAACACGTGCAATGCGGAACGTACGCTCTGCCATATTATGAGGAAGACCTAAGAAAAGGGAGTAACGCTCGGAAAAGGGTGGGCCATTACTTCGAGGGACATTTTATTGGCCTCACTCGGGAAAATGATCTTGAAGACAGAAAATGTGGATATTATATTAAAGGGCTCGGGAAATGTACTAATGTACTAAATGAACTATTCATACTTATCGTCAGAAATGATGTTCTTATTATTTCCCGGTCTTGTACTCGGTGACGTCACGTACACATTAATGAAACAGGAGTGAAAAATATTAAGATCGATTAACATGAAAATTATATGCATATTTATATTATTAATGAAGTAGAAACATTAAGATCGAGTAATATTAAGCAAGTGTTTTTTTCTGGGGAATTTCGGAGTTTCCTAGAATCGCAGTTTCAGCAATTTCAGAGCGAAGAACACCCTCGAAATCTGCCGCCCTAGGAATCACCCGTCAATCGGCGCGCCCCGCTTGTTTATTTTCAATTCACGACGTCGAATGCAAATCGATCGAAGTTTGCCTTGCAATTTTAAACTCGCGACTCTCCGGTACACGCGGCGCCCGCGTTTCCAGCGCTCACCTTTATTATTTACTTCCCAAAAGCTGTACGCAAGGAAGGCGCGAAAACACCCGGCAGATTTTCTGGTGTCTTAAACATTGCCGAAGCGTTGAAATCGGTTTTCTCCAAGGAATCAAAGAGAGTCTTCTTTTCTTCACACCGAACATTCTTCAGTGAAATGTTCAGCAACACCGTCATGGTCTGGATGCCTTGAACATCTTTCCCGTTTATGGAGCGGAAAATCTTCAAAGCCTCGACTTTCTCGCTTTGCGCTCGGTGGCATACTCTAAATGTCATTTTCTTCACCGTTCATGCACGATGTTGCCGATGATAGATATGACAATTGTACAACAATTTAGAACACTCTGGTAATCGATAGACTCGCATTTGAAAGGGATAAAGGCAAAAAAAAGTGTCTTATGCGCTTCTATGCTAAAACGAAGGTAATACGAGGTCTCGGAGAGGAAGATTAGTTGACGTTAAAATCACTGATAGCGCGGAGTGGCACTCTGCAGTCAAAAAAACCACAAATTCAGGAGATTTCTGGAGGTTCACATAGATTACTTTGTCATTATTGTTGGCAACGTAGGTATTTAGAAAAATCTTTTTCACCAACGTCGATCAAGTTTCTCGACGTGTTTCACTTCACCTTAAGGGCCGAGGGCCACGCACCATTAACGATTAAAATTTCCCGTAGAAGATTTCGAGAGGCCACCCCCGGGCAATTTTAATTTCCAAACGAAGAGCCCTCCCGGATGGTATCACGGTAACGAGAAGGGAAGTTCGCCCAGTACAGGAAGTAACCTCGTAAAAAGTTTCGCCCTGTTGGGAAACGCCGAATCTGCGAGAGCGGCTTTCAATAACGTCTTTTAGGCAAGGGGGGCGGACTTTGAGGCGCCACAGGGGGTGGCACGTCGCGGGGGTGGAAGGCTTCGCTTTGTCGCGCGCCAGGCTCACATGTCGAACTTATGAAAATTAATAAGAAAAATTGGCCATAAATTCGCCTCCGCGAGTCCCCGGTTGCGCGCGGCTCGGCTTGGCAATAAAATTAGAATTATGTCGCCCCCGCCCGTCGCGGGCGCGCGCCTGCGACCACCCTCTCCTCGCAGGAGTGCCGGGGGACGCCGGAAGAGGCATTTGTTAGTCTGCGGAATGTGTCCTCGTCTTAACGTATGAGTTACCCAAGATTACATCCATGTCTTACACGGCGAGGCATCCGCCTCCGGCTCCGCGCCCCATTCGCAAACCCCACGGTTATTAAATTCTGCACCCGAAGAGGGTGACTTATCAGCCCACGAAGAATAAGGTGCCGAACGACTATCGACCGGGACCCCGATCGACCATCCATTCGATAAGGTTCTCCGCCTAATCGCCGCATTCGCCCCCACAAAGACTCCGAAGGCAACCCCGTCCCACCCAAGGGGAATATGGCAAGCGCCAGACGAGAAATTGTTTAAACGATAGGAACGCGTTTAACTAGCTTTGCCAGCGATTTTCGTCGGGTCTCGGAAAGCCTCGATCGCGCGTTCACCGGGTCGCAATTTCGCGCCGGGGATTATTTCACGGTGGAGGAAACGAGAGGTGAAGCGAGCCCGTGGCGGCAATCCCGGATGGGGTTGCAATTATTAATAGAGGAGGAGAGCAAGGAGTCCGTCCCCGAGGCGTGCCGAGACGATCGTGTCTCCCGCTTCAAGAACCACCGTCATCGGGGTAAGCTCCTTAACCACCCCTAACCATCCCTACCACCCATCCACCCACGCACCCCTCGCTCGTCCTCCCTCGAACAGCCTGCCGTTATTTCCACTTTCCACCGGCGAGCCCACTTTAACCGACTAAGCGAATCGCTCTTTCTATTATTTTTTTTTTTTTCTTCAAGGTATCGGGCTCGCCCTCGGACTATGAATCTCTTCATACAAAAGGAACAATTCATTATAAGGTTATTGGAAAGTGCAGAGACATGAAATATGAATTTAGATTTTAGATAGTTTTTAGATAAATTCGTGTCGATAATAGTTCTTCGACTCGTATTACAGTTTCCCTTTCGCAAAACTTCAAGCATCGTTTCGTTGAAAGATTTAACGTCTTTAAAGGCATTCCTAAACTTCGTTATTTATCCCTTTATTCCACGGATGTTTATCGCATATTTTCAAAGTTAATACGTAAATGATATTTAGAAGGAAATGCGGTCACACTCTGGTGAGTAGTTGAACTTGTAGGGTTATTGTAAATGTTTAATAACGCTAGAGAATTTTTAGACGTACCGTGATAAGTCATGTCGCAATTGTTTTATTACAGGAGTATCTCTTAGGGTCTCCGGTCGGTCGCGTTATGCAACGAAGAGTTAACATATGCCATTGTTCGCAATGTTCCATGTCTCGTAAAGCGATTGATTACCCTGCCACTGATAGAATCCGTAGCAAACTCGACCTACTTCGGAGTCGTTATTATTTTTCCATTATCCGTTATGTACGTCTGGCACGAACGAGGGTGCCGATAGTTTGAATTTAGCAATTACCGACGACTGTCTGATTACTTCTGCACCGTGATTATCGATGGAGGGACGAATCGAGTCCTATTTGGAGATTCTACTCCCGTCAAGTATGGCCTGAATTGCTAACGATGAACACACAATATACACCCGTGCTTTCGACTTAAGGCGGTCATACCGTGCGGTAGGTCCAAAAAATTGAAAAATATTATATTTAATAAATTGCTTCTACAATATGTCTAGAATACGTAGAATAAAGGATTTATCAATATTCGAAGTCGGTGGGTGTTAACATTAGGATGGGTTAATATTTGCACTTTTTTTGGCGGTAAAGGTTATAGAATTACTGCAAGGATATTAACATGGAGGAGTCATACATGTTCTTTCTTAGGTAAGGACTGCAT